TTTCTTAGTCATTACCGAAACGAAGGTAACGGCACACATGAAAAATGCTCACAATCAATGTTATTCAGACATTTGAGATGTAGCCTTTTTTATTAAATTACTTCTCTTTTTTTTCCAAATGCTCAATTGATGTCACATATTTTTACTTATGGTAGTGCAGATGAATTACAAATCATAGAAGGGTGTTTTGGTAACTCCTATTTGTTGATTGTTGTAGGATGGACAAATTGATGATGGGGAATTTGCTGCAACGACGAGGAAGTGTATTGGTGGAATTGGGAGAAGAAGCATCATTTTTTTGATTGTTTTGATTCATTTATATTGTCGTGTTAATACGGAGAGCGATATTGTTAAAATGAATGTCAATAATGCATTCTCCATTTATTATTCTCTTAAGTTAAATTTCATATTACAAATTTTGTATATAATGTATATATGCATTTTATATATCTATTTGTATTTTTTTTTGAAGTATTTAAACATATTTTCATATTTTTTATGTATTTATGTATTTTAAGTATTTTTTATGTATTTTAAATATATAAATATATTTTTTACGTATTTATATAAATTTTTAAATATTTGTAAATATTTTGGTATATCTTTCACGTATTTATGTATTTTTAGGTTCTTTATATAGTTTTTTTTACATATTTTTATGTATTTTAAATGTATAAATATATTTTTTTACGTGTTTACATATTTTTATGTATTTTAAATGTAGGTGAATAAAATTTACGACTATCTTTGTCGTTAATAAATATATTCATAAACTTTGTTCATTTACAAACTGAATTCAAGAAAAAAAAAAGAATTTACCTGCAAAAATGACGTTGATTGTTATTATCGTCTTTGAAAAATGTTGGTTTTGAAGCACTCAAGTGTTTTTTTTATTCATTTACAAAGTTTAATAGTTAACTTACAATGTAACTTAAAGTAAAAAAAAAATACATAAATACGTAAGAAATATATACCATAATACATAAAAATACTTTAAAAATACATATAAATATTTAAATACATACTTGAAAACATATACCAAAATACATAAAAGTACATAAAAATTCATATAAATATGTAAACAAATACGTTTATACATTTAAAATACATAAAAATTATATAAAAACTTAAAAAATACGTAAATAAATAAAAAAATCTATAAAATGCGTTAAAATATAATACATTTTTACATTATATAAGTTTTAAAGAAATCTATAAAAAAATTATTATTTTAAAAAATCAGCGATTTGGTCTTTGCTCGATACTAAAATTAATTTATTAGTTTTTCAGGTTTTAATCGTTAGTTTTAGGGATAATGACTTAAAAGGGTAATATATTTCTTAATTTGTACACATTTAGTCACTGACTTTTTTTTTTCCTTATGACCGGTTACTCCAGGTTAACCGGGAAAATGACTTAATAGGGTAATATATTTCTCATTTTGTACACATTTAGTCCTTAATATTTTTGTACACATTTAGTCCTTAATATATTTTTTTTTGTTTCAAAATAAGTCATTTTTGTTTTTGTACTCATTCTGTACTTATGAATTATTTCTTTAGGTTTTTCTCACGACATCTTACATGGGACAATCATTGATGAAGTATGTGTGGTTGTTGATGTTTATGTGTAACGTCTCGTTTTCACAACAAAAAATTTCATTTTTAAATAAGGCAAAACTCCCTAATTATAAATTAATTATTAAGAAAAAACGTTTATTCCAAAATTTATCGAAAATCAGAGTAACATAAGAAACGCGGAATCCTCAATATTGTTGATGAGTGTGTACAGTCATGCCTTCACCTTCCCACGATCAACGATAAAACCTGAAAACATAAACAACTGGGTAAACACAAAGTTTAGTAAGTTTCCCCCAAAATACCCGATACAACAAACGTATTATCATGCATAACGGGCCCACACTCATCAGATTGGAATACCTTGGCCCAATGAGTCATCCGACTGGAATGCTAACACACAACAGGTCCAATCAGTCATAGGACTGGAATACCCAGGGTTTGTCGGCATGCCGCCTTAACCCAACTGCTTTTCTCGAGCATTCGTGCCTACAACTTACAGCCGGTCCTCACCAGGTATCTTGGTCTACAACATATAGCAGGACCACCTCAACCTATCCCGCCACCATATGGCTATCCCACGTAAGATGTGAGAAAAACCTAAAGAAATCATTTGTAAGTATTGAATGAGTACAAAAACAAAAATGATTTATTTTGCAACAAAAAAAATATTAAGGACTAAATGTGTACAAAAATATTAAGGACTAAATATGTACAAAGTGAGAAATATATTACCCTATTAAGTCATTTTTACCGGCTAACCTAGAGCAGCCGGTCATAAGGACTAAATGTGTACGGTTTAACAAGTTGAAGGGGTAAATGTTGACGAAAAAAAATCAATGACTAAATGTGTACAAATCAAAAAATATATTACACTTTTAATCATTCCCTTACTTTTATCAAACAAGACTTTTCTGTAATTTCCGAACGAAGGACCTCCAAAAATATAACACCCCGCTCCCGAGTTGTAGCAAAGAAAAGAAGAGAAGAGAAAAGAAATCAAGGAGAGAAAAGAAGAGAAAAGAAAGGAAAAGAAATTTGTCTTTTGTGCTCCCGAGTTGGAGAGAAATGAAAGGAAAGTTAAACATTTTGTTCTTTCTTTCTAAATCCTCCCAAATCGGAAGGAAAGTTAGGAGGGAAAGTGATCATTTCATTTCCTTCCACTTCCTTCCTTTAATGAAACTCGGGAGCACCAATTTCTCTTACTTTCCTCTCACTTCTACCAATTTCCTTTCTTTTCTCTCCTTAAGTTGAACTCGGGAGCGGGGTGTAAGGCCGGACGGAGTGGACCGCGGGGAAACCGCGGGATCGGTTCCCGCATGAAGACACACCGCACTGTGGGTGCGGGAAAGGATTAGCGGGAAGAGGGTGAGGGGATAGAGTCCCGCTCTCTCTCTCTCTTTTAACCATTGGCTGTGCGATTTCTTTTTTCTTTTTTTTTTTTCTTTTTTTATTCCAAACGACTCTATAGCCGTTATATATATATATATATATATATATATATATATATATATATATATATATATATATATATATATATATATATATTCTTTTTTCTTTCCCTTTTCTTAACCTATAAATACTCAAACATTCTATCATTTTTTTTAACCCATAACCTATATTTCTCTCTAAAAAATATTATTCAAAATGTCATCATCTTCATCATCCGATTCGACGGCTATAGAGGAGGCTAAGTTTATCGGTTCCGTCATGACGAAAACGGTTGCATACTATCAAAACCGACTAGGCGAAACATCACGTGCACGACGTAACCTAAGAAAGCCGCCGTTACGTAGAAATCACAAAGCCGGACACGATCGCCTTATAGAAGATTATTTTGCAGATGACGCCATCTACGCTGTAAAGTTTCGATGTCGGTTCCGGATGAGGAAGGAACTATTCTTACGTATTGTTGGCGATTTGGAAGGCCGCTTTCCATATTTCCAATGGAAAATGGATGCAAGGGAAAAAAAGGTTTCTCTCCCATTCAAAAATGCACGACTTCAATTCGTCAGCTAGCATACGGCATGGGCGCAGACAAATGGTACGAGTATTTTAGGATGTCAGAGCGTACCGTGCGGGAGTGTGTGTACAAGTTCTGCAACGCGATCTGTTTGGTTTATGGGCAATGATATTTGCGCAAACCAACTATCAACGATATCCACCAATTGTATACGGTGCATGAAGGCAAGCATGGATTCCCTGGAATGCTAGGTAGTATCGATTGCATGCATTGGAGTTGGTCATTATGCCCCAACGCATGGCGTGGTCAGTACATGAGAGGCGACCACAAAGAGCCGACGATCATTCTAGAGGCTATCGCATCACATGATCTTTGGATATGGCATGCATTCTTTGGTCCAGCTGGTGCAAATAATGACATCAATGTGCTAGACCAGTCGCCGGTATTCAACGATATCTACCTTGGAAAGTCACACGATGTACCTTTTCAAGCAAATGGGGTAGCATATAAGCGTGGATACTATCTTACTGACGGTATATATCCTCCCTTGTCTGTTTTTGTGAAATCGTTTACATGTCCTAACGATCCGAAAATGAAAAAGTTTAAAGAGGCGCAAGAGTCAGCTAGGAAGGATGTGGAGCGAGCATTTGGTGTACTTAAGAGACGTTGGCAATTACTAACGGTCGGGGCAAGGTCATATGAGGTGAAAAGGTTACAACACGTAATGTATGCATGTATCATATTGCATCATATGATTCCTGAAGACGAATGAAGAGCGATATGCCGATACAACGAAAATGAAGTTTTGCCAAATGTCGAAGGAGTAGTCGTTGGTACACAAGAGTATAGGGTGAATAGAAGAGAAGTACACAATCGCGACATTCATGAGGCCCTTCGTGCTGATTTGGTGGAACACATTTATAGGGCTCATATTCAGCTCCCGTACGAGTTATCTCACGATGATTTGTTTGACGAATCAGACGAGGATTCTGATATGTTCGTCGAGAGTGAAGATTCCGACGACGAGAGTGACGCTGGGGAGAATGATGCAGACGATCAAGGTGATGACGAAGACGATGATTCCGAGTGACGTATTTTGGTTTAAATAAAATTAGGATATTAATTATTTTTTCTATGTTGTAGGTTGTTTGATTTTTTTTTTTGCGGTTTTTTTATTTTTCTACTTATTTAAATATTAGGGTTAATGTAATTTTTATTTTAATTAATGAAATGCTTTTTATTTTTAATTAAATTTTATGTTTGATATTAATTTAAAAATTATAAATAAAAAAAAATATTTTATTTAATATAAAAAAAAATGATAGAAGGGCTTCTCATCCATTTTTTGGCTTTTAGGGGAGTGAAAGAAAATTGAGGGAAAAAGGGTATGGCCCACCAAAAGTGAGGGAAGACCCACAGACTAAAATGTATATGTCGTTCTCTCTTGGACAGTCGGCGGAGTGGATGATTACGAAAAACAAGCATGACTAGCAACACACAGAGATTAACTTTCTCCAGAACCAAATTTCATCCTTCAAAATGTCGGTTATTGCATTCGAAGAGATCTTCAATTCCTCATCATCATCCAGTAAAATTGAAAAAATCCTACACTTTCACTGCCTTGCTAATTCATGGCTTACTGGGTTGTCGAGACGACTTTGTAGATTTCGCTAAATCCCTCGTTTCGTCTCTCTCTACTGGTTGTACTCTATTCTCTCTAAATTTAATGCATTTTGTACACACACATTACACCTAGCTGGATAAGTATCTGGAATCGACTAGGATTTACGATATTCGGTTTCTCTTTTTTGTTCTATGTAGTGATGCTATTCGTTTTCTGATGTGGAAAACAGGCATAATCATGATCTCCACTTTCTGTTGCTTCATATTTGATTGCGATTGTGATTTACATGTCTTACGGACAGAATCAGAATTGGGAATTTTGTTATATTGCTGAATAGTTCACCTGCAACTAACCAATCACATATGTAAAGCAATAAAGCATAGTTACTCTTTAAGGATTACTTGGTAACATATCTAATTTATAAGCAGATTGGAGGATGGTTGTTGTGGATTTGAGGAACCATGGAAGCTCGGTTGATCGAGAAGGTTTATCCCCACCTCACGACACACCAAATGCTGCTAGAGATTTAGCAAATCTCATTAAGTCTCTTGATTGGGCTTGGCCAGATGTTGTCATTGGTCATTCTGTTGGCGGCAAAATTGCCTTGCAATATGCTTCAAGTTGTGCTCACGGTGATTATGGTGATTCAGCGCAGCTTCCTAAACAGGTATGACCGTATGATTAAACTGTTTGACTATTAGTCAAATATATGAAATACGATTTCATCACAATTTAAAATCAACAAATGAATGTCTAATGAGACTTGAATAATCATAATTATGAATAAGATAATTAGTCAATCAGGTTCTCAAAGTTAAAGATTTGTTATGTAACTGTATATTTATCTTGATAATCAGTTTTTTACAGCAATCTTTTTATGAATCTGGTTATTTACTTATTTTAACCCTTACGCTGATTTGAATTAGGTGTGGGCATTGGATTCTGTACCTGGAAAAGTCGAGAATAAAAGCCATTATGAAGAAATGGAGAAAGCTTTCCATACACTACAGACACTTCAGCCTCCCATACAGTCACAAGAGTAGAGACCTAATTTTCCTTATTTGATCATAAACTGAAAAATTGTCTTTTTTTTATCTTCTTAAAGTTAAAGATGACATTTTAGGTGGCTGGTAGATCATTTGATGAATCTTGGATTCTCAAAGTTCTTATCAGAGTGGATAAGTAGCAGTCTCAAGAAATCGGGAGAACACATGACATTTTCTTTCGATATTGATGGTGTTATACAGATGTTTGAATCCAGCAGGTAAATCTTTACTTTTCAATAACCCGATTTTACCCTTATAAGACGAGAAGGGCATTCACGTCTTTTCTTTTGCACATACGACCAAGCCCCTGCCCCACTTTGTTCAACCTTTTTGTGTGGGACAAAAAGCTAATGCATGCCAAACACTATATATTCTGTTTTGTCTTGTCCTGGTTTCAGATGTGATTTGATGGTGGTTGTATGTTGTAGGGATAGTGATTATTGGTCACTACTAGAGGAGCCTCCAAAGGGAATAGAGATATGTGTAGTGCGTAGTGAAAGCCGAGTCACGTGGGACCCATATGTGGTCAAGAAGCTTGAGAGTCTTGCTAACCGGGAAAATGATGAATCAAGAGGCAAAGTCTCGGTTCATGTTGTTCCTCGTTCTGGACATTGGATTTACAAGGATGAACCAGAGAGGCTGTTGGAGATTATGACCCCAAGAATAGCCTCTTTGGTTCAACTTGTAAGTTAGGAGCTAGACTTTTCAGCTAGTCCGACCTGAATATTTTTTATTAACATCAGATTTGATGTTAAAGTTCATTTGTACAAATTGGTTTTTCAACTATGAATGTATGTACTTTTAGTTTGAATTTGTATAATAATATTTTACATGTTATAATTTTTGCAAAACTTGCTTGTGATATTATATTGAACTAAATTGCTATTAATTTATTATGTATATTATATTTATCTCAAATATGTTTTACTTAATTATAAAATATATTAATTATTATTAATTTTAGTCTTTCAAACTTCTTTAAAATGGTTGTCTTAATAGTATGTTAATGTGAGACTAGCCCATTTGGTAGAAATAGAAGCCTCTTAGACAGGAGGCATCATGTTCAAACCTGGACATAGACGAATTGACTAAGGCTCCGTTTGATAGTTTCTGTCCGGGAAAGTGTTGTATGAGAAAAGTTTTCTGACTGGGAAAGAAACCATGTTGTTTGATTGTAGATCTGATTGACTATGTTGAATGATGAAAAATGATAATATTGCTCTGATGTTCTATACTGTGATGGATGAATTTGCTGAATAATTATAGAAACATACAAATTGTCATACAAAATCAAAATTACATAATAATCATTTAAATTCCAAATACAATGTCGATTAAGTTGTTTTTAGTTTTTTTTTTCAATTTAATGTTACGTCGTTATTCTTTCTAGCAATTAATTTTTTTTTATAACTCAACATGTGATTCTTGACTCGGTTTATGTCCGATAGTGGTGGGATGGATGGATTTTTTCAAAATATATTAGGATGATGGACCACCCTAATATAAGAACTATGTGATCATTGATAGTAGTGTTGTCCAAAAAAATAAGAACTATTCCAATAAAAATGATTTAAAAAAATTAATTTAAAGAAATTAATAATCCAATAAAATAATATTTATTAATATATAAATATTATATATTTATAAATAATATTTTTTAATATATAATTATCCAATAAAAAGAATTAATCCATTAAAAAGAAATAAAAAAGAATTATTTAAAAGAAATTAATAATCTAATAAAATAATATTATTTAATACATAAATATTATATATTAAAAATAATATTTATTAATATATAATAATTAAATAAAAAAGAAATTAAAAAATTATTTAAAATAAATTAATAATGCAAGAAAGAAAGAGGCAGAGTTTAGGGCACAATCGTCTTTCCAGCCTATTCAGCCAGAAAGATATGGTATTGAAGCTTTCTGGGAAAGACATATCTTACCGGGAAAGACCCATTTTTTGTGCATATCAAACGGTCTTTCCAGTCCATTCAGCCAGAAAGATCTGTTTGGACCTGGAAAGATGTCTATCAAACGAGGCCTAACTTGATGAATTTAACATATAACCACTAACCTGCCATTCAAAAAAAATTATATATATACTAAATTTTTTATTTTAGTTATAACTGCTAATAATAATATAATATAATTTATATGTTTCCTATAATATATGTGATCAAATTTATAGAATACTAATAATATACGTTTTCTTTAATTTAAAATTAAAATAATATCTATGAGGTGTTTTTCTTCTGTTAATAAAGATAATAATGTCTAAGGAAGGGATTATATTTACACAAAATATTACATTATTTCATCATTTCGATAAAAAAAATATATATATTATGTAATAAATGGGATATTTCTTAAGTTACGGATTGGATAGATTTTTGCTGACCCACATGTACATGTGGTTCTCATCACACAAAGTGGATGATAAGGAAAAGAAGCATGGCACAAAGATAAAAGAATAACGTTCTCCCCAAATTGTTGGTTCAATTAAAATGTCGATTATCGCATTCAAAGAGATCTTCAATTCATCATCGTCATCATCCGGTGGAAGTGAAAAAACCTACAGTTTCACGGCCTTTCTAATTCACGGCTTATTGGGTTGCGGAGATGACTTTGCAGATTTCGCCAACTCCCTCGTTACTTCTCTCTCTACTGGTTAATTCCAATTTCATCTCTCTAAATCCAATGCATATCACGCACACACATAATACCTAAACACTATGCATGTACATAATGCAACATTGCAACATAGAACTGGCTGTCGGGTCTGAGAGAAGATTCGGATCGGATGTCTTACACATGTGAGTCGTGAGTGAGTTCCCGACCCGGTTCCTAACTGCCATCATCATTAGACCCACACCAGGGCTTACATAATCGTCATCTCTGCTGCTTTTTATTGTTTCACTTGTGATTAGGATTCGGACTTTGATTTCTAGGTTTTATGGACCACTTTAGAATTGGGAATTTAGTTGTACTACTAAATAGTTCATCTGTAACTCAATGGAAGAAAATTCACGATCTGTTCGCAAAAGATTGTTATTTCTATTTTTATCGTCTATTAAGATTCTTTAGTAACGTATTGAACTTGTAAGCAGATTGGAGGATGGTTCTTGTGGATTTGAGGTGTCATGGGAACTCAACTGATCGAGAAGGTTTAGCCCCACCTAATGACACTGCAAATGCTGCTAGAGATTTGGCAAATCTCGTGAAATCTCTTGATTGGGATTGGCCAGATGTTGTTATCGGGCATTCTTTAGGTGGTAAGGTGGCCTTGCAATATGCTTCAAGTTGCGCTAATGGTGATTATGGTGATTCAGCACAATTGCCTAAACAGGTATAAAAATCACAATTTAAAATCAACTTCTTGGATATTTGGTTGTGTGTTTTTACTTTTCATATTGGGTGTAATGTGACTTAAAGTTAAAAATTTATTAGCATTTATCTCAATAGACAATAGTAATTAGTTTTGGTACAAACCAATGTGATTGTTTTGGCCCGAAATCGGATTTCAAACAGGTGTGGGTAATAGATGTTGGACCTGGAAAAGCCGAAGATAAAAGTCAATATCAAGAACTGGTGAATGCGTTGCAAAAGTTGCATACACTTCCGTCGCTTTTCCCATCACAAGAGTAGAGACATCATTTCGCCTTTTTATCTTTAAAGATTCACATTTTAATTAGGTTTTTTTTTTTTTTTTTTTTTTTTTTTTTCAGGTGGCTGTTGAATCAGATGATTGATCTTGGGTTTCCAAAGTTCTTATCAGAGTGGATAAGCAACAGTCTCAAGAAATCAGGAGAATACATGACATTTTCATTCGATATTGATGGTGCTATACAGCTGTTCGAATCCGCCGTGTAAACCCTAATTTTTCACCCCACCCTTGTAAATTGTAATATGCACTCAACGACTAGATCATGAAATGATGGACTAAACCTGTAAATTTTGAGATTGTCTGTCTTCCTTGATAAGGATGACGAGGGCATTCTTGTCCTTTCCATATACGCGGCCTCCAAAAAAAGTCTTAATTTTTGTACAATCATATAACATTTTTGACTTGCGTAACAATTTGATTGGGTGGTTGTATGTTGTAGAGAAAGTGATTATTGGTCATTGCTTGAGGAAACTCCAAGGGGAATGGAGATAGCTATAGTGCGTACTGAAAGCCAACTCTCGTGGACTCAGGATGTGGTAGAGAGGCTCGAGAGTCTTGCTAGCCGAGAAAGTGATGAATCAAGAGGCAAAGTCTCGGTTTATGTTGTTTCCGATTCAGGACACTGGATTTACAAGGATCAACCAGAGAGGCTGTTGGAGATTATGGCCCCAAAAATAGTCTCTTTGGTTCACTGGAAGTTGTAACTTGTACGAGCCTTTTTAGATCAATATGTGCAGCTTTCTCTCTTAAATCAGAAGCCTGTCGTATGTTGATCATTCACAGTTTGACACGGCTGTGATAACTATCACTATAACTAGTTGATTTGTTTAATATGTAAAAATATATGATCACTACACCTATAAAAATACAAGTATGTTGACTAGTAATTACAATATTTTGTTTAAATATATGATTACAAATGAAATATGAAAAATATACTAAGCAGAAACAAATAAAAATAATAATTCCCGAACCGATCAAGAATGGGGTCCCCTCCTTGCGGGCTCCATGGTAACACCCTAGGAAGAAAGTTTTAGGCTTGACCCATATGTAACTTTTGGCAAGATTTTTCTCTTTATATAAACTAGTAAAAGAAGTCCGTGTTTCGCATGGGAATGGGATATATATATATATTTTTATGTTTTTCACTTTTTTGTTTGTTGCATCATTTTGTTTAATGACATATAAATTGTCAAAATCATAGGAAATACCAATCTACTTTATCTTTAACCAATAATACCATTCTATTACATTTCTTTACACATAGAAGCAACATACTTACAAATTCTTGCCTATAAAGTATATTGCTACTATGGGTAAAAACTTATAAGTAAGCCGCTATAAGGGGAATAAGATATGAGTATGTGCCTATTGTAACGACCCAAAATTACAAAGAAAATTTTCATTTTTAAATAATCAAACACAATTACAATATTAAGAAAATACAGTCATAATTGTTTTCAAAGCATAAGTCAAATATAACTTTTATTCCAAACTTCAGAGTGTCCCTTGAAAAACGCCCGAGAGAGTGTACGCCGCGCCATCAAACTTTGCCCTTGCCCTTAGGCTCCGATGTACCTGAAACAAATCCACAAACTGTAAGCTAATGCTTAGTGAGTTCCCCAGAGCATACCCCAACACCCAAGTCACATAACACATGTATAACAGCTGCAAAAGCTTCCTCTACCACATATCACATATCATCTTAGCTATAAATCTATCTCTACCATCAGCCATAAAGGTTATCTCTACCGTTAGCTATAAAGCTATCTCTACCATAGCCACAAAGGCTATCTCTACCACATATAACCTCATATTCATGCCACACATCTCTATACAACGAGTATACCAACTATCACAAAATGGTCCGACCTTGGTGCCTTAGACCCAATGGTATGGTGAGAAGACTCACCTCTCGAAGATTGAACTGGTAGGCTGAAGTCAAATATATCCCACACGCTACTCCTTCTTAACTACCTATAATCAACAAGTGATTAACTTATCGCCATTCCCCTAAATACTCTCAAGTCAACCCTGGTCAAAGTCAAGGTCCATAGTCAAGGTCAACAGTCCATGTTGACCTCAACTCGTTGAGTATAGCCAGCCACTCGTCGAGTCCTTTCATAACTCATTAACTCGCCGAGTCACTTGAGTGACTCGTCGAGTTCCCTAATGTTTGCGGCCGCAAACCCTCAACCGCAAACTCCTGACCGAAAACTCATGCCACCCGCAAACTCTGAACCGAAAACGAGTAAACCCTAACTCGACTCGTCGAGTCAGCCAAGGGACTCGACGAGTTCCTTTAGTCATCCCAAAGTTCGGCCTTTCCAGAGGGATCTAAGGTCCCAAACTTTGGATCCAACCTCTCCTAGTGAAGATACCATGTAAAGTTACAAACTTTATGTGCATGCATGGTCCTCCAAAGCTAAAACTCCAAAACTAGGCTTCAAACAAGGTTCTTGTGGATGGGAAGGGCTGAACTACATAAAGGGAGCAACTTTATGCCTTTGGGGACCTAAAGAGATCCAAATCTGGGACCATAAGTCCAGATCCAAGTTTGACTCCATTTTTCTTTTCAAAATGGTCATTCACTTCCAAGATGGAGATCTAGACAACTAAAGGTCAAGGTCACAGCTTTTTACCTTAGAATGATGGCCAAAAAGATGTAGATGCTGGATCTACTGCTCCTCTCCTGTTTCCTTCTCCTTCAATCTCCACAAATAAAAATGCTCACAAAGGCTCTTACTCTCACTTAAGGATGTTTACAGTCGCAGACCACTTTCTGTAGGGAGCTAAGGTGCTAGGGGAGGCCACAAGAGCAGTTAATGATATTTATATAGGGGGCAAACCCTGAAATTGGGATTTTCTCTTTATAGCTCCAACTCGCCGAGTTGGTCCCGATCCGAGCCCATGATTAATGCCCCTACTCGCCGAGTTGGACTCTCAACTCGCCGAGTCCATACACCAAAAACCCTGAAATTAAGTAAATCAGATAATACCGGGAACAGGTGTTACAAGTCTCCCTCACTTGAACTAGACTTTGCCCTCGAAGTCTGCTGACCTGAACAAATCCGGGTAGTGCTCTCGCATCTCCTCTTCCGGCTCCCAAGTCCATTCGGAGCCCTTTCGGTGCTGCCATTGCACCTTTACCAGTCTTACTTCCATATTCCGAAGAACCTTGGTCTTCCTATCAAGGATCGCAACGGGCTTCTCGTATAGTTCAGACTCTCATCCACCTGGATATCGCCCAATGAAATGACTGCGGACTCGTCATTGACACACTTCCGAAGTTGTGACACGTGGAAGGTGTTGTGAATCTTGCTAAACTCCTCCGACAGATCCAGGCGATATGCCACCTTGCCCACCCGGGCCGTGATCCTGAACGGGCCTATGAACCGAGGCCCCAGTTTGCCCCTCTTACGAAACCTGATAATTCCTTTCCAGTGCGACACCTTTAGCAACACAAAATCCCCCACCTGGAACTCAAGGTTCGAACGCCGTCGGTCAGCATAACTTTTCTGATGGCTCTGCGTGACCCGCAGCCGGTCGCGCACCTGCTGAATCAGTCTGGTTGTCTTGAGCACTACATCAGTGCTCCCCATAACCCGATGCCTAACCTCGTCCCAACACACCGGGGTCCTACACCGTCGGCCATATAACATCTCGAATGGAGCTCGGTCGATACTGGCATGATAGTTGTTATTGTACGAAAACTCTACCAATGAGAGGTATGTGTCCCAACTCCCTCCAAAATCCAACACGCATGCTTGAAGCATGTCCTCCAGCGTTTGCAAGTCATGCTCCCACTTTTCTGTCCCACATCGATAGTAATTAAGATATAACTAGAGGAGAAGATGGTAGGTTTATAAAAGACAGAGAAGTCAATTTTCTAGACCAAGAGTCGTTCTTTTACATCTTGACGATACTTCAAGGGGGCAAATTGACAACTTAATTTTTCAAAATTAAAAATATCAAACATGTAGTGAACCTTGTGGGGGCAGGTGCCCCAATTGCCCTCATTGTGGGACCGCCCTTGCTGATATGTCGATTGAGATGTGGTCGACTCTGCCGGTGGAGATGACATTGTCGGAGACATCGATTTATGTCAGAGGTTTTGAAGCTAAAGAGTTCGATGTCTTTAAATCTAAAGAATGAAGATGCATAAAAACAATTAAAATAAGATGATTATGACCAGTGAAGGTGAGTTATGAGGTGGTGGGACCCACCTAATTTACTAAACCTTTTTTTAAAGATAAATAACAAAATTAAAGATTAAAAAATTAGAAAAAGAAAAATTAAGAAGGGCGATTCTTTTTATGTGTAGAAGGGACCTAGCGCACAACAAAATCAAATTATAAGGATGGTCCAAGCTAAAAAAATAAGTTACGAACATGATATACAAAGGGATAATGAATTAAAAGGGTAATATATTTTTCGATTTGTACATATTTGGTCACTAAGTTTTTTTTTTTTTTTCGTCCACATTTACTCTTTCAACTTGTTATACTGTACACATTTAGTCCTTATGACCGACTACTCCAGATTAGCCGTTAAAATGACTTAATAGGGTAATATATTTATCACTTTGTACACATTTAGTCATTAATATTTATATACACATTTAGTACTTAATATATTTTTTTGTTGCAGAATAAGTCATTTTTGTTTTTGTACTAATTCAGTACTTATGAATGATTTCTTTAGGTTTTTTCTCATGACATCTTAAGTAGGACAATCATTAATGAAGTGTTTGGGGCTTTTGATGCTTATGTCAATCACGATCTCGACTACTTGATTGTTTAGGTCATTTGTTTTGAACGTCATAACTTCTTCATACGATCTTGGGTTTCAATGATTTTTATATCCATGCGTTCGTATTTTAGTCTACTACAACCAGGGGCGTAGCCAATATAGGACAATAGTGGGCCTTGGCCCACACACACAAAATTAAGGTTACATATATATGGTATGTACAATATATATTTTTGTTAAATAAATGGAATTAGGGTTGTGATATGGCGTATTCCATTCAACACTTGAAATTAGTAGAAGAGAATATATTGTTGTCTATGTCGATTAGACTCCATTTTATATTATTTTAATGATGTAAGACAACATCGTGTGCAACTTAAAATAAATAATTTAGTTAAGAATGCATATATAGTTACATTTTGTTATCGTTTGAAAAATTTTGTCACTCGTTCATATTTTGTATATTATTTGGCATATGCTAAAACAAAATCTTGACTAGGCCACTCAGTACAACTTTCGTTTAGATTACTCTCGTTAAAAAGTAGTATATTTTTATTTACGATCTTTATATCCATAAGTTTTTTTTTGAATGCATGTATGAATGTTTTTTTCTATAAAATCGAAAGTAAAAATATATTATATTTTAACGGGAGTAATCATAACCAAAGTTGTAGTAGACTAAAAAAAACGAACGTGTGAATATAAAGATCGTTAAAATCTGATATCGTATGAAGAAGTTACGACGTTCAGAATACAAGGCTTAAGCCAAATCACAATACCTACACAACCAAGCAGACGGGATCGTGATGAACATAAACATTATTAGCCCCAAACATCTCATATATGATTGTCCCACGTAAAATGTCGTGATAAAAACTTAAAGAAATTATTCATAAGTACTGAATGAATACAAAAACAAAAATAACTTATTTTGAAAAAAAAATATTATGGGCTAAATATGTACAAAAATATTAAGGACTAAATGTGTACAAAATGAAAAATATATTATTCAATTAAGTCATTTTTCTTGGTTAATCTAGAGGAACCGTCATAAGAACTGAATGTGTATAGTTTAATAAATTGAAAAAGTAAATACTGACGAAAAAGCTCAATGACCAAATATATACAAATTAAAAAAAATAATATTACCCTTTTAGTT